AAAAAATTCATAAAAGTTCTGAAAATCGCTCCAGAGATTACCAGTAGCTATAATAATGCACACAATAAGTTATAGCGAAATTCATTGTATATTTATGCCATAAATCAACTGTTTACATAGATTCACATACATTCTCTTATATCAAGTAAAGAGCTTGGGCTACCCGTGGTTATGTGACCGAGAAAGACTTGATTCGAAAATGACCATCGGGGTGACGACTTGTTGACAGCTTTGCACGTGTGATGGTGACTCGACTGAACTCTGCAGGATAGTAGGTTTAATCCTAAATATTCCCTTCATCGTGTTTTGTTCTAAGGTAAGGACTGAATAACATTAATTTATTATATTTGAAGCCTTGAAATCGCTTTGATGAGAACACGCGCTCAAAACACCAGCTAAAAGAATTTGTGTTTGTTTTATTGCTCAATCTGATTCCTCTGAACCCAGTTCAAACGCATTAGCGCAGGCCAATGACCTCAGTGTGCCTTTTTATTTCTTCTTTTACAACACAGGAAATAGGCTCACCATGTTGAAATGCTACGCGTCAACGCGTAGACACAGATACCGATACACCGTTTTTGACGCGTAGCACGCGTTGACGCGTAGCCCCAAAAACAACAACGAAGATAAGTTTGTTTCGCTGTTTAGCGGTTTAAAAGTAGAGAACACCTACATAACCTACAAGCCTTGAGTTAATCAAACTCTTTTAAGTCCGTTTTCATTGACTATTCCTTAATTAAGTCATTTAGCGACTTGAACACATGAATTTTGTTTGAATGTTTTTGATTGAAAGCCAGTAAATTTGCACATTTTCTACCGTGCTCAATGTAAGGAGAATATCTGTATTCATCTTAAAATAAAACCATAATTTTATCAAAATTTCAAAATGCTATATCATAAAAGTAATAGAAGATTTTTTCCATGACTCTACCGGTGAAATAGAGCACTTGTGATGTTGGGAGAGACACTCGAAAATTTTTAATTAAAAGACGCAATTACAGGCGCGTGTAGCGTGTACTTTTTGGTTAATTCGCACATGGCAGAACCGCGACACATATTTTGGATTGGGGGGCTAACGCCCTCCGAAGGCGGGAGTATTAAGGGGGGTCGGGGGTCCTCACCCTGAAAATTTTGAAATATTATAGCTCTTCGGGAAATGCGATTTCCAGCGTTTTGAGCGCGGGCATCGAGAGCATATATAAGGCATCAAATCCCGAAAATTTTAATATTTCCTTGCCACTAGTACGCACGTGCGTATATGCGTAAAGGACTCTACGCGCCAGAATTAAATGTTCCTAAGAAAGTCAGTTAACTATACGATTTTCATTAGTCAGTTAACTACTAATTTTTAAGCCAAAAGTCAGTGAACTATTAACCCTATTAACACCCTCGAATATGGCTCGCCTTAATTGTTTTCTTAGAAAAAAGAGATCTAAAAAAATACAAGAGAGTTATGCTTGTCGTATATTTTATGCAGATTATTTATCTCTTAGGATTGCGAGGTGTTCTGCCCGGGAAATACGCACGCAAGGCCATCACAATCAAGTTGCAACCTCGTCCCCAGGGCCATCTCGGCCGACTCCTTTTCAAGATGGCGGTCGTCGGGGAGATGACCCTGGCGTTGGCTGGAATCACGTGATCAAAACCTCCAATATTTTTGGAGGTTTTGATCACGTGGCTTATCTATTCAAAATGGCGCTCGAAACGTGAACTCAACGGTTTCACAAACTGGGATAGCTGTGGTGGGTCGGTATTTGCTTTGTTTTGATGATTTATTTGAAAAATGTCCTTCCGTCCTGCCGTCATCGGCAGTGTTGACCCCTAGACCGCCTACGGGAGTAGATCCAGTTCATTCTAGAATTCTTGAGGGATCCGCTCACTACAGAAATCGGCGAGTAGAAGACTTCTATAACATCGAATGCTATCGCTAAATATATCCGTCAAGTTAAATTTCTTACACGAGTAGTTGGCATCTCAAAACCACGCATTGGACAAGAGAGACATAATGATAAGAGGACAACTGACAAGAATTCCAAAGAATAATGTTGCTTTTTAATCGACAAAACGTACCTTAATTAAAATTCGGGAATATTTGAATAAAAACAATGAACGCATCGTAAAGGTTAAATCAATAACCGATCAAAGACCTAACGGTTATCCGGACATACCGGCAGTGTCGAACACATCCCGACCTATAGCCAGACGAACATAAACAGCCAATAATGAGTGATATAAGAAAAGGCATTTTGAATAGCCAATCAGAAAGCGGCTTAGTTCAGCAAACGCCAGGGTCATCTCCCCGACGACCGCCATCTTGAAAAGGAGTCGGCCGAGATGGCCCTGGGGACGAGGTTGCACAAGTTGGGCATCCAGTTGCAGAAACAGGCGTCCCAGCAACCTAATATCGTGACATTCTTTGAAAAGCGGAACATAATCAATATCGAATTCCTGGACATCCGAGATCTAAAACAGTTATACCTGCTCATCAAAGGGCTTTTTAATGTTAAATGGAGTTAGTTTAAAAATTAGTTTATATATAAACTAGCCACACCCTTGTTATTGTTATATAACTAGACGCATAGCTGCGTGAACTCGGGGTTCTTGTTGATAAAAATCTAGTAGTGAATCCGAAAGATWAATATTCAGCGTAAATTGTTATATCGATAAAGTTTGTGTTCTTTCGTAGTTTCTTTGGTAAGGCTCGTTTACACTTGCGAATGTTGCAGTGTATCAAATACGGCTAAGAGAACGAAAACTACTGTTTGTATTCCTTAGATAAGTACTTTGTAGTTTCAGAGCCTGTATATGCTAGTTCGCGATAAGACAATTCTCGATAGACTGCGATCGATAGACAGCAAAATAAACTTCACTGTAAGCTTTACGATAAATTCATGGTATCTCTCCAAATGCCCTTTCGAAACGTTCGACATTTTTTAGTGTGACTATATCGCGAATGGTGTTGATCATCTCGTGTACAATCGCCACCATAAAGATAGCACATGATAACATTCGTACCCAGTGCCTTCTAGTTTGGCCGAAACAATTTGTGAACCAAAGACGACGACCACGACCACGACGATAGCCTGTGTACATCCGTTTCTCACCCCTCCAACCACGGGCTTTAGGAGACTCCTTGTTTTGAGTYGTGAAAAATTCTTGTTCAYGGRCAAAATAACACGCTATTTACTTACTTGAGTCTTTTATTGCTAGTCAAATAAGCCTGTGATGAATAAACATGAATTTATGATCTGTTTAGTCCATTTCTTTCCATATTTATAGTAACAGTTACGACTAACCGTGCGCCATTTTGAATACACAGGTATTCACCAGTCCTCTGTCCGATCAAATGGCGTGGTTCCCTAGCTGCAACTCAACCGCCAAACATAAAAACCCCCAGGGTARGCCCTAAGTGCCAATCCATCGTWCAATCCTCAATGCTAGCTGATGACGCGTCATCACCATATTAGGAAACTACCCTGTCCCCTTCACCCATATAAGGAAACTACCCTGTCCCCTTGAATCCAATACAAATCCGTTTGTTTTGAGAAGTTTTCCGTAAGGATTACAGCTGAAAAATAAGCGAAGAATAATGAATGGTGCTTTTGGCGGATAGCATGTAAATACAACTTAAATTGATCGATTTATCGTTAATTTTAAAAATATGAATTTCGTTATTTACGTACAGATTAATTTCGAACTTCGTTTATTGGATATTCTTTTACAGAGATGAAGAACKTATTAGTAAGCATTTTACTTGTGACCCCGATGCGAGAGGGACGAAATTTTAGATGACGACACAGCTTGCATCAAGCTTTGGACGATTCAAAATGATCACGTGGTACAAAATCCATCGATCCCATTGGCAGAGAGTTGGGCAACGCCCACTTAGGGCCTACCCTGGGGGTTTTTATGTTTGGCGGTTAAGTTAGAGAATCGCGTAGGACTGGTGAATACCAGTGTAAAATTCAAGATGGCGCACGGTTAGTCGTAACTGTTACTATAAATATGGAAAGAAATGGACTAAACAGATCATAAWTTSATGTTTATTCATCACAGGCTTATTTGACTAGCAATAAAAGACTCAAGTAAGTAAATAGCGTGTTATTTTGYCCRTGAACAAGAATTTTTCACRACTCAAAACAAGGAGTCTCCTAAAGCCCGTGCTCCAACGATAAAGACAGCCTAAATTTAAACTCGCGGTTCCTTTGGAACCCCGCGAGTAATGAATTTCGAGGGCAGATCACGCGGGACAGGTCTGTTGAAGTTTGATTTCGGCAAGACATCATTGAGACCTATATATAAGGTTTTGTAGTTTTTCTAGTGAACTCGTTAGCTACTTTATATATTCATGTAGCTGCATCTACGCATATTAGTACGACGGTTTGGAATGAAATTCAAGACGTCAGGTCTGCGGAATTCAATGCAAGCTTTGGTCTCAGCGTTTTTACCTTTATTTAGTCACTGAGACAGTGTAGGAAAGGTTGAGATAGTATTAAAGGCATGCCAAAAGAAAGAATATTTATTTGCAGACGAGTAATATTGGCTTGTCATTAGCTAGTCTATTAGCTCCAAATAGTTAAACTTATGACATGCGACAAACTAATTAGGCAAACACGGTTTTGATTTTGCCTTTTGGTAGTCTCCTAAACTCTAATAGTTACTATTAAACACCGGTAACTAGTAGTAATTGTTTTACAGGCGGATGAAAATGACTCTACTCTACTACTATTACTATACTACTGCTTATGTTTCACGCTTTTACAAATAATGCACTAATAGATGATATCCATGAAATGTCACGTGTTTTCTTTACTATTTTTGGAAATTAAAGTGGAAGAACATATCTTTCACAAGCTAGATATTGCTGTCGTGGTACAGTAACAAAAAAAAGCTTGCTACTATTAAATACATAATTTTTGGAGATTTGATTTTTCATCTATATGATAAATAGTACCTTTATGCACACGAACGAATTATTTACAATAAAAACAGTTTGACTTTTGATGAGTGAAAACTGTCATTTTCACAATTGTTGACAGAATTCATTCAATTCCTAGTGCTTGTAATCACCAAATATGAAAAACAAGAAAAAACTGAAAAAAATACATGTACGTATACCAAGAATTCCTTATTCTTAATTACTAATTTTTTCATAGTGGTGTCTTAGTTTCTTTTGCCCCCTCTAAAATTTCAACTATTGATCAATGAAAACGTGTAGACTCGCTAAAATGAAAATAACTTCGTTATTTTCGAAAGCATGATTTCAATTACAGTGAGTTTATAGACCAGAAGGAAACCATTGCGATTCTTGCTCGAAACTGGGGGGTGTTAATAAGTCATTTTGGAAGAATCCTATTCAAAAAATACATTTAAAAATGAATGTCCACATGACCTTCATAATACAGACGAACAGACAGACCAACACAAAATTTATAGATTGTGCCCCATCTCTCCCCCCTCCCCCCAATTCAAAATTCCTGGATCTGCCACTAGGACTGGAATTTTCTTAAAATTCAATCGATGAATTAACATTCACTAGTATAACTCCTCTCCTAACCACCATTGTGTCGTGGAGCTGCCTGTCTCCACACATTTGAATGTTGGATATATTGGATTGTAAACTCCAAAGAATTCCTCACTAACTCCCTCGTCAGAAACAACAAAACCGCAAAAAGAATCAGGCTCAATATGTATGTGATGAACGTTACTCTTAGAATATGTAAGTGCCGTTTGATTGTAGTACTCTTGGTTCCTAATATTGATGTATTTGTATCTTTTACAAATTGTCACGCCAATAACGTCACCGTTATTGATGATATCATAATCACTTAGGGAACCAAGAAGAAAATCAGGTTTCAGACTTCCTCCCATTCTCTTTTGGAATTCACAGGTAGCTCTGAACAATGAGGACTTGGTTCTGATGTACTTCATGGCACTCAAGGATAATCGATAGTCATCCCACTTAGGCAGGGCATCCATGTGTCTTGGAAAATCATCATGATATGGATTCTTTTGGTATACTGATAGATCTTTGTTATCTCTACTATACGATTCGATCAATGTAAAAACTTGGTGTGGAGTTTTGAAATCACAATATACATCAAGAGGCGATCCGTTGTCACTTCGGTAAATTGTGTACTTGCCATTTGGTGGTAGTTTTGTGTGTGAGTTTCTGAGAAAGTCCAAGCAAGATGATGCCGTCATTTGGCATACGCGGCCTGTGAAAGGATGCGGGCATCGACAGAAGAATTTTTGTTTGGGGGTTTGGCATAAATCTTGGCATGTTCCGCCATTTAGGCATGGCTGCATTTTACAACAGCCGTTATAACACCCATCGGGAGGATTCATGTGAGATTTCTGATAAAAGGAAAATATGATTACCATAAACGTCAGGAATAATGAATTCTAATTAAGTTGGAATGTGTCTAATTCATGTATTTTTTTCTTGATTTCCGAGAGACAATCTGTAAACTTATTTATCGCTTGCGAAAGTCGACACTGCGGCAGCTATGTTGGTGGTCTCAACAAAAGTTTTCTTATGAGAATGTAGTATTCATGCGACCAGCATGACAATCGATCTTTTAACTTGTTTTTTAGAATCTAAAAACAAATCACGATCGAAAATCAGATGTTTTCTAGACCTTAGCGTTAAAATCATAACGGTGCAGGGTCAGTCGAGGGTTTCTCATATCCCCACATTTCTAACACAATGCACAATTGTCCAACCAATTGAATTATATAAATGGGAATGTAGAGGAAATCATATCCATTCAATATACTATAACACGTTAATAATTTCTATATTTCTATTAATTTTACACAGAACAGTCATTACCATGATATCTCAATGAGCTGAAAATATTCTCATCCACCGCGGATTTCCATGTGTTATACCTCAGCAATAACCAAACCACGTGGGATGAAGATGAAGAGCGGCCGAACTCAGAACATGGCGTGGTTTCTCCCATATGGTTCTCCCATATATTTGCTATACGGGGACGTGCCGCTGGCCAGGGTATGGTTTTTGGTCTTGCTGTTAAGCAGGGTATACATTTCACCCGAAATTGTCCTTAAACAGGCTCTACAATTTAGATAAAAACCGATATATTTTTTTGTGTGTGTCTTAGACAGGGAAATATTTTCATACGAAATAACGTAAAAATAGTAGAAATACCGTTCCACTGTACCAGGATTAACGTGTTATCAAAAACTTCTTATTGTCTTTGATGGATGTCAGTATATTTGCAGTTTTGATGGTTGCGGCGTAGATAGCGATTCAGTATTTTTCCGATTTGTCTTGAACAGGGTATGGGTTTTCGCTTTCTAGTGTCTAAACAGGATCAGGGTTTTAGACCCCTCCCCGTGGTTTCCGACGCTCCTCTCGTTTCTCCCTACATCTCGCGTGTTTTGATCAGAGTATCAAACACAGAAATCTGTTTTATATTCCTTAAATATAACTTCACAAAAAGCTAAGATTACTTCATTGTCGGACTTTAAACATTACTTCACTTACCCCCTTGTACTGGGTCTGTGCAAGGTCATAATACACATATCCCTCCTCGTCATTGAACTTTACTCCAGAGAATTTATTGTCAGCATCAAGAAGCTCACATCGATCGCCTTTGATCTGACAAGCTTGGCATCGACAGTCTTGAATGCACGACCGATAGCACGTGACATGGTCTGTCGTGGTTAGATTTTTATACGAATATCCCTTAATGTACTTTCCTTGGAAGGTATCGACATCCCTCGGATGGCTGTGTCCTGAATAACAAGTCCCTACGCACTGAAACTTCCCGGATGCAATTCCGCATAAGAGTGCAGTAGAGATTAGCAGTGTCGCCAACATCGACATCTTACTAAGCAACTGTTCTTCTTTAAAAAAACACTCTGAAATAAGGTCAAAATCTATTAGCTTATAGAAATAACCGACTTTGAGAAACATGCTACAAAGAGAAGACTTGCTAATTCGTCGCCAAATAGAGCTTTTTCAATGTTTTTTCAAAGACTTTTAAAAGATTTGACTACCAAAAGGCGGAGATGCGCGAAGACATCCAATGACCCTCCAATCTTAATTAGACGATCAACGATCGTTTACATGGGCTTCGGCCTATGCTATCACAATCAGCAAACGAAGAAGTGACAATAGTTTTATTGTGGTAATCGAAGAATTGTATTATATTGAACCCTAATAAAGTTCATATTACTAAGACTAAAGCAAAAATATTTCTTTTAATGAAAAATAATAAAACAAGCTGCAATGTACTTTATAGCATTAAGCATAATATTGTGAAAGAAGTACCGCGAATGACACGT